CAAACCCCCCCCCCCCCCCCGTGCGACACGATGAATCTCAAATTATTGTTCATACCTGAAATGTTGGGAGTGCAACGATAAGAATTATGCACAATCAAAATATCGACTATATAATAGCATGGAAGTGACATGTTCCAATATTTAAACCTATGCAATACTACAAGGTCAAATTAAGGGTGTCAAGAATTATCAGCTGTCCAATTCGACAGTTTACTCATTTATCCCGATAGTTTATAAATGTCGGGTGCGACATTTCAAATGTCGAGTTCGACGGTTCAAGTGTCGGAACTGCCGAGAAGCTTCAAATGTGTTTGGTAGCATTAATGCTTATAATCATTTCTTAACTACAACATCACAACCTATTTCCAGAAATAAATGACTGGATGCTTCATTAAATATGAAATACTTCACATTTTTCAAAATATTTTTGGTATGTTTTTCCTTCAACAATATTAAAAAAAAAAAGACCATCATGTTGTTTTTAACATTCTAAAAAAAAAGTAAAATATTACATAGAAATATAAATAATTCGTAACAACTAACCTTTCAAGATAGATGAAGAAGATTGATGAAATAATGTCTTTTTCAAGAAGAAGAAAATGGATGAAGAAGATGAATGAAATAAGGGTTTGTTTGACAATAAATTTGTTTTTTAATGTTAACTAGGGTTTTGAAGAATTTTATATTCATTTTTTATTAACTCTTATTCGTATTTTACAATATAATACTCATATTTTCAATGATTATAATATACAAAATTAAACAATCAAATTACAACATTAATTGTTTTGAAAAGCAATCCTGAAGGAGCATTAAATGCTCCAAAAAAGTCAAATTAAGAGTAATTTAGACATTTGATAACAAGAAAGTGACATTTTTGTACAAATTGTGTGCACATCAAATTTTTTTGTGCATTTTCAAAAAAAGTGACATTTTGGTAAATTTCCCGTAAAAATATTGAACTGACAAGAAATCGTCATGCTAGAAATGTCAAAGTCATTGTCATTGTCATTGCCATTGCCATTGCCATTGCAGCTAATAATCTTATATAGTTGCTAAACTTAGGTAACCATTTAACCAATAAAAGATTATATATAATTTTAAACTTCATTATTACACTTAAGCTCTGCCAATATAATATAAAGTTAATCATTAAAAATAAATTATAGATGATACTACACAAATAATATTATTATTAATTACAAGTGCATATTTTTATACATAGTACTATATTGGGGGCGTTTTACACCCATTTTTATGGGAAAAATGAATTTTAGAATAGTAAATTGATGGAAAATGAGTGAATGAAAAATAAGGAAAAGTTTTTGATTTACGTGTAATATTATTTTAATAAAGATGTGTGGTTAAAAAGAAGATAGAGAAAAATGTATTTTGATAAAAATGAGAATTAAACGGGGACCAATATTAAATTTTATTTAATTAACTTTACCAAATAGGCTACAAGATTATTTCTCATACACTATTATTATTTTTCTTTAAAAGAAATATTGATGACCTACAAGTATATAACTTTCATCGCATTTAAAAAAAATTTATAAGGGCATGTTTAAGCCACATTATTCCAAAAATATATATATTTTTAAACAGTGATTTGACATCATTTCAACCACACATTCTTCAATAAAATAATATTATACGCAAATCAAAAATTTTTTCCTTATTTTTTAATCACACATTTCTCATCAATACACTATTCAAGAATGCATTATTACCCAAATAATGTGACTCAAATACCACCTAAACAAGAAATGATATATACATGCATACATAAGACAATACTAGAAGAAGATAACTTCACGGCTCAATGCCCAACCATATACAGTTACTAGACTTGAAGACATTGACGTCACGACTCAATGCCCAACCATTTGTATTTGGTAGTATAAATTAATCATGCGTTGATGTATCCATTAGCACAAGGTACGCCTTGAGAATGCTATTTATTCAAAAGGTTTAGTCAGTAAACATATTCATCCAACAACTCTGCTGTACTGCTGTGTGTACAGCAGGCTTCATACAGAAGCCTGCCAAAACACACACAAAGGGGGTGGGTGTGGGTATTTTTTGGTAATTTTTTATTCACAATGGATCCCACACATGAAAGTAATCTGGCCAAATTCTGTGGAAAATTTTATGTACAAATGACTTAATACTTCATCCAATAACACAAGGAACGCGTTGTGGATACTACGGTTTATTCATGAGACGTACGTGTATATATACATGAAACATAATTCATGTGGAAATGATGTATATAACTCCAACTATAAAAAATGGAAAAATATAAGTAAACCAACACGCCATTGACATGCCTAAAGGAAAGGGAAGGATATGCGTGTGTCTCATTGGCCCTTCATAACAATTTGCGTTCAAGATCGAAAGAAATGGTTCAATTTAATTAGTACGATTTTTTTAACAGATTGTGTTTTTGCATAAATTCATGCACGACCATGCTTGTTCTTGCTTACAAGGTAATAACTTACGTAGTTCTTGCAATGAATTAGATCGGTAGAGAGGGCTTGCAAATCATATTGTTGGAATGGATCAAGGATCATAAGGTCCTATTAAATAATGATTTAAAATATTAAAAAAGATCAAATAAAAATTCTAAAAACAAATTAATAAATAAGTCAATAACTAGCAAAAAACAGACAATAAAAACTTCAAAAATAAGTTTTCAACTATTTTGTAAAGGTCCATAACAAGTTTTCTTATGGAAGAACATTCAGAACACATCTGGACATTGTGTGCCATTATCGATCTATCAATTAAAGAGATATTAATGAAATCAACACCAAATCATTCATTTGTATATCTTGCACTAGTATTATATATCCTATACGGATCATGTAACAATCTTAGTGCGATTCTATATGATTTTGTACAATTCTAAACGATTTTAGTGTAATTCTCTATAGGAACTTGATTGTTTTACCTTGCTAGGGTCGTTTAATCTGATTCACAATTTTTGATAACTATGATAAACAGTTCAATCACATTTTATCCACATAATTCGAGAAGTTCACAAGTATTATACATTTATCCATCATTTATTACTATATGTGAACCGTTTATAAACACTTTCTAAACATGCTCCTTCACTGTATCGAGTTGACTACATATTTGAAAGTCTCAAAATTTTGATACATAATTTATGAGTTGTAAGAGAAATAATGATTTGAATTTATATTTCATTATCAAGGGTGATGATTTAGCACTATAAATCTTTCATAATGTGATATCCGTTATGCCGGGCCAAATTCAATACTAAATGATTTACAGTGTTAGATACTAACTTGAAATTCTTTGCAATGTGCAAATACGTATACATATACATTTAATGTATTATTTTATACGCACAAGGAAAAACAAGTAGCCCAAGAAATCGTTGATAATAAGGAATTTATTTTAACATTTTCATCCATACAAAATTAAGTACATAATAATGAATGATTTAATGTTTAAAGTTATTCGATAAGAAATGACGTGCTATGATATCTTGTCATGCCGGATCGCATGATGGTTCTAGTTTCCATTGCTTGTTGTATTTTCTCCTTATAATGAGAATTGGATTTTGGAATAGTGAGAATGTGTTGTTAAAAATGAAGGAAAAGTTTTGAGTTTACGTGTAATATAAAGAATGTGTGGTTGATAAGATGAGAGAAAAATTGAATTATAATTTAATGGGGGCAAACAAATGCTAAGAGTTGAGGCGAGAAAGTAAAATTAATATTTGAATGATTGGATGGAGTTCATCCACGTCCACATCGATCATGAAATATGCGTAAATTTTCTTAGTAAACTACATAATACTGTGACTAATTTACATGTTTTACACTATACAAAGTATAGCTCTATATTGAATAGAAAAATTTATTGATAGGACAAACATAGAGTAAAATAGACAGTACTGAAAAAGTATTAAAAAACATGAATAATTCTATTTGTATACTTAAAAGTGTACCGAATTGTTTACACCCTCTAACATGCACACAAGATCCACGTGAATAAAAAAATCTCAAAATGTGATTCCCACTCCCTATTGTAAGGGATTAGGTAAAAAAATTTGGTATATATAGTATGGCCAAAAAACCTTATATTTTGTTAGTTGTACTTTAAATCATATAGAACGTTCAATGAAACATACCATTCAGGTAGATTTCAACTTATCCAGCCCATACATTCTCTGCACGTCAGAGGCAAGATTTACAGTTAGCACAAACATCATAGTACTTCGAAAAAAAATGGAAAAAGCATTGAGTTCACTGAACTTAGGTTCCATTTTAAAATAGAATAACTTCATTAATTTTTAAATTTAACTCACTTAAATATCAAGCCCCTATTTTGACTCAAAATAAATTTTTTCCTCTCTTATTTTCAATCAAAATATTTTTCAATAAAATAATATTACGCATAATTGATCCGAAATCAACAAAATAAAGTTCAAATGAAAAGATGAATGTAATGGCTCACCATGATACCATAGCTTCGTTCTAACTCAGGTACAAGTAATGAAATTAGGGTTTGCACTTCTTTTTTAAGCATATCATCATTTGCATCTTTGGCCTTCAGAATATCTATCAAACTTTTGGTATCGGGCACTAGTTTGAGTGATACCTATAAAAAGAAAATGCGTATAAGTTCAAAAATTATCAGCCTATTTGGGAGTGATTTTTTCCTCCAAAAAATTGATTTTTTGACCGTTATTTCGCTATTTCAGCCCTCATATTTGACTTCTCTCACAGGTGAATCCCACTTTTCTCCTAACGGTCAAAAAATCAATTCTCAAAATTACTTCCAAACACGCTCTATATCTTAAGTCGGTAAAGAAGGAATCTGTGCAAACATGCAATATGTGTGAAACATTTTACAAAATGCTTAATTTTAAGTCATTTACTTTAGTCGGACAAAACAAAAAGTAATGTGATCTCAGTGAAGTGAGATTAATAGTTTGCGGTTGTGACAATTCTCTATGCTTATATCGAGGATTCCCAATACCACGTTCATTCCAATAAACAAGAAAAAAAAAATTAAATGCATGTATGGAAAGTGTTTATATAACAGTATAATTTATAGATAGATAAAAAAGAGTACCGGCTAAGTGGATAGTACAAAATATATAAGTAAAAATGACTTGAGTTTTATAAACAGTTTATAAAGATAAATCAAACATAGGCTAAGACACGAGAAAATTTAGCGTTACTTTGTATGCTGCAGAAGATATCCATCCATGCCATGGCTTAAGAGTGATATTATATGACTTTTCGATGGCTTGTTCGATACTCATCTCAGTATCCTTGACAAGTAATTTTAATAAAGCTACTGAAAAATCAAGAGATCTGCAAATAACAATTCCAATATAGAAATGTAGATTAGAGCCAAAATCAATAGGTTGCTTTATTTTTAATAAGGAGAAATTTTCTACATGCATTTAAAGTATATTTACAATTTACATGCTATATTTTTACGTTTACGTTTTGCATACTATACTATAGTTATTGGTAACAAAAACACATTTTTTAGGGAAAATTAGAGCTATTTACTAATTTACCATTATAAATAGGCAAACAGGCCAAAATACTCTTAAACGAAAATAATTATAAATCGCACATTGCATATTAAATTATATAACCCTTTAATTAGCAGTTGTTAAATTATTTTATATTTCTAAAAATTAAACTGCTAAAAGCTTATGATGTTTTATTAACTGGCTTTTCCTTAAAAGATGGTATAGAATGTTTAAAAAATTTATGATCTTCATTTTCTTTAAATTATAACTTGAAAAAAAAAATTTAAAAATTTATTAAACTATCTTTATGAATATAACAAAAATTACATTTGACTTTTTTCCAACATCAATAAATGGAAAATTGGAAATTATTAGTTACCGTCACCTAATAAATAATGTACGTTAGATGAATATCATATAAGTTTAGTTTAGTTTATAAATTTATGTTTTTGGTGATATTTTACCTTTGTAGTATTACGAATAAATTTTAAGAATAGAAAGACAAACATTAATATCGTTAATAAAAATGTAGAACTCTATGTAAATGAATTAAAATACAATTATTCTACATGTACAGAATAATTTTTCAGAGGAAAGACACAGAATACTCACATAGAATGGACCATATGTGAGTAAGATATTTCTAAAAAATACTTGCCCATCTCATTGTGTGTCATCTGTAAATGCCCTGTGAAGGCACCCTGTACACCTCCATTTGCTCATTAAAGTATCATGTTTTCATAGTGTAGTCCGTGTCAGAAAAATAGTGTAATCAATCTTGATTTGAAAACAAAACAATTTATAAAATATAGAGATGTGAGTGAGGACGAATTTATTTTTATTGTTTTGGATGAAATAGTAATATATAGAATTGTTCTAGATAAAGAAAGTAATATATAAAATTTTTAAGAGTAATACAGCCGTATGTAAAGTATTATGTAACGCAAAAGCTATGTTGTGATTTTCAATTTTCAATTAAAGATATTTATAAGGATTGTGTTATATGTACATAATGGTGTACACATAGACTTACACCCCCTCACATGGAGGGGGGCTCACATATAATAAAATATTCGTGAACTCCCTTTCACGTGAGGGGGATGTAAAGCTGTGTTTACACCATCAGGTGTACACACAACATTATTCTATTTATAATTGCAAAATTTCAAATATTTCTATATTGCCTTACAAAAATGCGTTTTTTGTTACAATAACAAAAACACAGTATACAAAAATTTATAAAATATAGTATGTAGATTGTAAATACACCATATGCAAAGAAGTATACAGTAAACCTTTCAATAATAAATTATCAGCTGTGCTACACTACTATCCTCCATGACAAATAGGTTGATAAAATGACATTTTATCATTGCACTATTTTAAACACAATAATCTTAGGAACGTGCTTGCTGTATACTCTTGTGTACAGCATACATGACGGCCTTCTCATTTTGGTACAAGTTAACTCATAATCATTTCCATCCAATCATTTTTATTCACATATACATCTATCGAGGAGGGTGGTAGAAATCATATGGCAAAGAGCAAAATTTATTAATGTTAAATGGAGAGTGTTAAAATGTACACCCACTTTTGTATAAAATGGTTTACTTACACTCATAATGGAAGGATGGGGGGTCACATGTTGACATTTTATATTTCATGTGAGGCTCAAGTGTACGTGAGAGTGAGTAAAATATTTTGGACAAATGTGTAAGTACAAATATTTTTATTCTAATCTTAATGTCTCCTCAAATGCACAAAGAAATGTTACCTGGTAAGCCAAACAAAGGCTTTACTGCAAGTAGGGCCTTTTTTGGCCCTTCCTTCGCTGACTTCTTTCTTCAATATTTCTACCACATCCCAATATGTCAGTGGATCAGAATCATAGACCTTCTCCAATCTCTGGACATGGAAGACATAATAAGAGGAAATTTCACAAAATATCTATTTTTACCTAGTCATTTACAAAAATGTCTAATTTGGAAGAATTTAGACTAAGATACCCTTATTAACAATTTATAATTCCACACTAAGACAAAAAAAAAATGAACATTTTTGCAATATTGTTATTGGTCAATAAAAGTTTGACACTAAACTTGTCATATTTATTTCAAAAAATATACATGTCAAATCACAATAAATGTCATGTTTTTCATTGATTCAGAAGTGTCGAAAACGACATTTTTAAATATAGAGAAATGTCATGTTCAAAATGAAATGTCATTTTAGACAAATGAAACTGTGTTCAAATGTTGAGAATGAAATAAGAAATGTCAAGAAATATTATTTTAATATAACTTCTCATGGAAGTCACTTCTCAAAATTCGTGACAACTTGATAAAAAAATCAAATGTCGAGAATACCATTTCAAAATGTAGCTTTTCGTTAATGGCATAATAGACAAGTTGACACTAAATTCAAATGACTTGATATTTTTCCAATCATACCCCTAAAACTGGACATTCTTAAAAATGCCCCACATAATAATTAAGTACAAGATTATGTACCTGTTTGGCTCTAATTAAAATCAAAATGCATTTTTTTCTCTTCCTTTTTATCATACATTTTTTTAATAAAATAATAATATACGTAAATTCAAAAATATTTCTTCCTTTTTATTTTAAAATTTCTTGAAAAAATTACTATTTTAAAATATATTTTCTCCAAAATTTGATTTTAATGGAGCCTGAGCAAGGGTAAAAGATTTGTCTTTGTACTTATAAATGTACTTGCATATGGTCTCTGAACATAGAAGTACCTATTATTTCCATGTATATTTTGATTGACCACAAATTTTATTTGAAATGAGCAATCCATAATTTTGAAAATTAACATTTATGGTCATATCACATTGCTATAGTATACCCAAGTCAATCTTTCATAGACGAAATCAATTAAGTAAAAGTTCAATTACCATTCGTATAAATTTATAGACGAAACAAGTTTTTAACCTTACAATTAACGTTGCTCTACAAAGAAAATATGAGGATATACTGGGCAATCAGTAAAAAATGGATATAAAACTTTAAAGTGAATTATTCCGACGAATGAAAGTCAAAGTGAAGGATTGGCTCTTTGCCTCTTTCTTAACCCTTAGCGGTTTAATTATCATGCAGACTTGGCTATGCAATGAGGGACCAATGTGTCCTGTGTTATGTACATACATACTCTGAAAATGTATTTTGATAAAAATGAGAATTAAACGGGATCAATATTAAATTTTATTTAATTAACTTTACCAAATAGGCTACAAGATTATTTCTACACTATTATTATTTTTCTTTAAAAGAAATGTTGATGACCTACAAGTATATAACTTTCGTGGTATTTAAAAGAAATTATCAACAAGAAATGATATATACATGCATACATTAGACAATACTAGAAGACGATAACTTTACGGCTCAATGCCAAACCATATACAGTTACCAGACTTGAAGACATTAACTTCACGACTCAATGCACAAACATTCGTATTTGGTAGTATAAATTAATCATGTGCCCCCGGGGCATAGTTCAGTGGTGCAAAAGATAGGAATGAAATTATTTCACGTCTTAATGGCAGCCGCAGTGTGGGGGTTCGATTCCTCAAACATGGAATTAGACTCCTTGTAAGCGCAGTGTACAGACAGCTCTTATTTCCTAACCTGTTGGAGCACATCCCGTGATTTACCTCCCTCACAAAGCTCTACCGCCCTCAAGGTTGGGGTTCAACCTTTTTAGTATAAATTAATCATGCGTTGATGTACCCTTTAGCACAAGGTACGCCTTGAGGATGCTATTTACTCAAAAGGTTTAATCAGTAAACATATTCATCCAATAACACAAGGAACGCGTTGTGGATACTACGATTTATTCATGAGAGGTACGTGTATATATACATGACACATAATTCATGAGGAAGTGATATATATAACTCCAACTTAAAAAAATGGAAAAATATAAGTAAACTCAGTGCTTGTGCTCCAACACACCATTGACATGCCTAAAGGAAAGGGAAGGATATTTGTGTGTCTCATTGGCCCTTCATAACAATTTGCGTTCAAGATCAAAAGAAATGGTCCAATTTAATTAGTAAGATTTTTTTAACAGATTACAGATTGTGTTTTTGCATAAATTCATCAGCGACGATGCTTGTTCTTGCTTACAAGGTAATAAGTCATCTAGTTCTTGCAATGAATTAGGTCGGCAGAGAGGGCTTGCAAATCGTATTGTTGGAATGGATCAAGGATCATAAGGTCCTATTAAATAACGATTTAAAATATTAAAAAAGATCAAATAAAAATTCTAAAAACAAATTAATAAATAAGTCAATAACTAGCTAAAAACAGACAATAAAAAGTTAAAAAATAAGTTTTCAACTATTTTGCAAAGGTCCATAACAAGTTTTCTTATGGAAGAACATTCAGAACACATCTAGACATTGTGTGCTATTATCAATCCATCATTTAAAGAGATATTACAGAAATCAACACCAAATCATTCATTTTTATATCTTGCACTAGTATTATATATCCTATATGGATCATATAGCGATCTTAGTGTGGTTTTATATGATTTTGTACAATTCTAAACGATTCTAGTGTAATTCTCTATACGAACTTGATTGTTTTACCTTGTTAAGATTGTACAATCTAATTCCCGATTTTTTATAACAATGATAAATAGTCGAATCACTTTTTGTCCACATAATTTGAGAAATTTACAAGTATTACACACTTATCCATAATTTATTGCTATCTATGTATAATTTAAACCATTTATAAACATTTTCTAAACATGCTCCTCCACTGTATCGAGTTGACTACATCTTTGAAAGTCTCAAAATTTTGATACATAAATTATGAGTTGTAAGAGAAATAATGGTATGAATTTATATTTCATTATCAAGGGCGATGATTTATAAATCTTTCATAATGTGATATCCGCTATGCTGGTCCAAAATCTATACTAAATAATTTACAATGTTAGGTACTAGCTTGAAATTCTTTGCTATGTGCAAATACATATACATATAGATATAATATATTATTGGGGAATTATCAAAAATGACATTTTTTTTTTGAAATTGCTATAAAACTTTTGAGGTGCACTAAATTTTATTAAAAATGTCACTTTTTTGGGGGAAAATGTCCAAATTACACTTAATCTCCCCTTTTTAGAAGCCTTAAATGCTCATTAATGGTAGTCTCCAATCCAATCAATTGTAATGATTTCATTATTTAATTTGTATATTATAATGATTTGGTAAATATATATTATATTGTATATTATGAATTTACCAAAAAAAAAAAAACAAAAAAGACGTAAAAAAAAATTCCAGGAAGCAAAAAAAAGATAAAAGAAGCAAAAAAATCCTACTTCACATCAAATACATCCCTTCTTGAAGAAACCCTCCATTTTCTTTCATCTTCTTTATTTCTTCATCAATAATATATTGCTATTCAATTCATCATTCATTTTGAGATGTTAGTTATTACAAATTATTTATATTTTTATCTAATAGCTTATTATTTTTCACATATTAAAAATAACATGATCATCAAAATGAAGAAAACATTTAAAACCACTATTAATGATGATGGTATTGATATTTCTTTTTGATTTCATTTTAAAGGGAAAATATACCAAAAATATTTAGGCAAATGTCAACTATTCCATATTAAATGAAGCAGTCATTTATTTATGGAGATCTGTATAGCAATGGAATAATTGTTGTAGTTGAGAATTGATTATAATCATTAATATTTCAGAAAAAGTAACAAACAAATACGCCTTAAACTTGTCGGCGGTCTCGACAGTTTATCTGTCGATCTCGATGGTTAGACATGTTGATCTTCACATTTAGAAACTGTCGAGGTCGACAGATAAACTGTCGGGATAGAGTTTTCAACTGTCAAAATCGATAGTTGAAAACTGTTGACACCCTTCATTTCACATTCTCCTATTGCATCTGTTTAAATATTCGAAAGTGCCCCTTCTATGCTATTACATATCGACATATTGACTATTCATAATTCTTATCGTTGTAATCTCTTTATTTTAGGTATGAACACCCATTTGAGATTCATCGTGTCGCATGGGGGAATGTTTATTCACGCGGTTGACGAATGGAAGTGGACAGAGGACAAAACCACATCCATTTTAGTGTCAAGAAATATTACCCTAGCCGAGTTAGACATCTGAACTATCAAACCCGACATTTAGAAACTGTCGAGATAGACAGATTAACTGTCGAATTCAACAGTGGAAAACTGTTGACACCCTTAATTTCACCTAACTACTATTGCATGGATTTAAATAGTCGAAAGTGTCACTTCCATAATATTCCATATCAACATATTGATTATGCAAAAATCTTATCGTTGCAATCCGATTCATCGCGTCGCATGGAGAAAAGTTTGTTCATGTCAATGACAAATGGAAATGTATAGAGGACAAAACTACTTCCATTTCAGTGCCGAAAAGTATTACCCTAGCCGGGCTTTTATTATGGTTGAATGACAAACTTAGTGCTCTCAATCCGAAAACTAAATGTCTCAAGTTTGAAGTGTAACTCATAGTGAAGACTTGTGGTACTATATATACTGTGGTTTATGGACGGAAGAATTTGAGGTCATTTACTAGCCAACCACCAAACCCAATCTACTTCAAATTAATTTGGAAGACAATTGGTGTGATAGTTTAAGGTCTAAGTATACCGTCATCCTTAGACTTTGTCTATAAATTATGAAAATTGTTAATCTTAGTACCCATGTGTAATATAATAATTAACTTTGAACCATGTAGTTGGCATTTAATTTTTATTATTTACTAACTAAATCATGTGTAGCATATCCTTAGGTATTTTTCATATAGCATTAAATTTCAAAATCTTATTTCAATCACGAAATTATAATATTGTCTTCTTTTAGTCGAACAATCCAACGAACATAAGCAACATGAAACTTCCACAATGCGTAAATACGACTTGTAATCAACCACACTCCAAGTGAACACAATAGCATACATAACAACGAATGATTTGTATGACTAATTACAATATAAAAAATTGACATGTCCATGTCAAACAAATATGATTTACAAAGAGCAGATTCAACCATTACCTCAAAACACACACACATGTTATCGATTTTTCAACATTCAAACTAAGAATCTTTAGGCCGGCAAAATAATACGACGACATTTTACCAGATGAATGTTACAAAAGTGTGTCAACATTAATTATTGTGTTACACAAAAAAACAAAAAACAAGAAATTACATGTGCTTTGCGAAGCACCCTTAGTGTCTACACTTCCAATTGGAGTCTCCACCCTCAATGTCTACATCTCATGAAGAGCGTCAGTCACTGCATCCTCATATTCTGTCATGTTGACTTGTCACGGGTGGTAGCTGTCATGAAATTTCAACAGAAGACCTCAATTTCAGGTTTGCATTTGAATAGCATGTCAGCAGTTACATTGTTGAACATTAAGAATGTGAAGAATAATAGTAGGCATTACCAACTAATCTGCCTCCATTCAACAACGTCGAACGATCAAAATCAACACCATATGGGGAGTAATTCATGACAGCGGTTGCAACCTTATCAAAGTAAATGCATATAGCTCCACATTAGCAACTTCGACAGTACTACATTGAATTTGTATGAACATAATATTTGACACATGGTAATGCGAAATGCACATGCAATGTTCAACCAAAGTTTGACATACATGTTCATGCGAAATGCACATGAAATGTTCAACCAAAGTTTGACGTACATGTTCATGCGAAATGCACATGCAATGTTCAACCAAGATGTGTTTTATAATATTTCATACATGTAAATGTGAAGTGCACATGCAATTATCACAGTGGAAATGTGATGTGTCGAGAGAACTGTCACAAAAGTTCATCTCGCAAGATGACTGAACTCATCTATTAGGAGCACCCATCTGTCGAGAATTACTGAGGCAAATTGTCGAGAACGACAGGTCATCTGTCGAAAACGATAGTTCATCTGTCAAGAACTACTGAATTCAAATGTCGAAAACGGCAGTTCAATTCAACAGACCCTTACTTCATTTTCTTACAGACGGAAGCATTAAAACCATAGAAATGTCGAGTATTTATTTATGATGCAGGATAGCGTATATCACTTTCGAATTTCAGCAACTAATTCATTTATAAGATAAATAAAGTGTGATATTTTACTTCAAATATTTAATACAAAGCAAAATTTGAATTCATATTCGAATTTACATTATCACAAACATCTACTATGCATCTCTTTAATTTCGTCAAAAATTTAATTTTTCTACCTACTAACTCCATTCAATTGATTTTTATGTATAATAACTAAATGGGTATTTCACAGATGAATTTTCACATCATACTTACTAACATAAAAAAAGCTTCAAAATATCAATTTCATACTAACAAATATAGCACCACTTCAAATTTGTAGAAACAATTCACAAATATGTAACAGAGAGATTTATGAAGTGTTCACCATGCCCAGAACTTATGTAATATGATTCCTTATCTCATTTGTTCACTTTTACACTCTGGACATTTCAACTTCAAATTTGTAGAAAAAATTTCATCTTCTCCTCAAAATGTAAAAAATGGAAGAAACAAACTTGAAGATATTAGTGAAAGTCTTCATCGGAGGTGGTCGTCGTGGTGGTCGTCGCCGGGTGGGAGGTAGGCAATTCCAATGAGAGAGGAGAGTGCATGAGAGAAAAGAGTGTGTTTGAGTCGGTTTCTTTCTTCTTGCTTCACCTCCTCTTTCTTCTTTTCCTTTTATATTTTCAATATTGAATAAAACCCTGACATTTCACAGGTTTTTGTACACTTTTTAATAGTCTAGTCATATCTCATTTAATGAAGAACACATAAGGTATTGAAATTATTCAGAGGGGCAAAAAAGTCCGAAAATGACATTTTTGATAGAACTTTAAAAAGATGATATTTTTGATAATACAAAGTGAAATTTTGACTCTTATTGTAATTTCCTCTATAATATCTATATTATTTTATACGCACAAGGAAAAACAAGTAGCCCAAGAAATCGTTGATAATAAGGAATTTATTTTAACATTTTCATCCATACAAAATTAAGTACATAATAATGAATGATTTAATGTTTAAAGTTATTCGATAAGAAATGACGTGCTATGATATCTTGTCATGCCGGATCGCATGATGGTTCTAGTTTCCATTGCTTGTTGTATTTTCTCCTTATAATGAGAATTGGATTTTGGAAAAGTGAGAATGTGTTGTTAAAAATGAAGGAAAAGTTTTGAGTTTACGTGTAATATAAAGAATGTGTGGTTAATAAGATGAGAGAAAAATTGAATTATAATTTAATGGGGGGCAAACAAATGCTAAGAGTTGAGGCGAGAAAATAAAATTAATATTTGAATGATTGGATGGAGTTCATCCACGTCCACATCGATCATGAAATATGACTAATTTGCATATTTTACAGTATACAAAGTATAGCTTTATATTGCATAGAAAAATTTATTGATAGGACAAACATAGAGTAAACTGGATAGTACTAAAAAAGTATTAAAAAACATGAATAATTCTATTTGTATATTTAAAAGTGTACCAAATTGTTTACACCCTCTAACATGCACGCGAGACTTACGTGAATAAAAAAATCTCAAAATGTGATTCCCACCCCCTATTGTGAGGGATTTGATAAAAAAAATTGGTACATATAGCATGGCCAAAAAAACTTATATTTTGTTAAATGTACTATTTAATCATATAGAACGTTCTCATATAGAACGTTCAATGAAACATACCATTCAGATAGATTTCAACTTATCCAGCCCATACATTCTCTGCATGTCAGAGGCAAGATTTACAGTTAGCACGAACATAATAGTACTTTGAAACAAAAAAAATAAAAATAAATAAATAAATAATGGAAAAAGCATTGAGTTCACTGAACTTAGGTTCCATTTTAAAATAGAATAACTTCATTAATTTTTAGATTTAACTAACTTAAATATCAAGCCCCTATTTTGACTCAAAATAAATTTTTTTCTCTCTTCTTTTCAATCACACATTTTTCAATAAAATAATATTACGTATAATTGATCCGAAATCGACAAAATAAAGTTCAAATGAAAAGATGAATGTAGTGGCTCACCATGATACCATAGCTTCGTTCTAACTCAGGTACAAGTAATGAAATTAGGGTTTGCACTTCTTTTTTAAGCATATCATCATTTGCATCTTTGGCCTTGAGAATATCTATCAAACTTTTGGTATCGGGCACTAGTTTGAGTGATACCTATAAAAAGAAAATGCATATAAGTTCAAAAATTATCAATCTGTTTGAGAGTGATTTTTTCCTTCAAAAAATTGATTTTTTGATCGTGATTTCACTATTCCAAGCGTCATATTTGACTTCTCTCATAGGTGGACCCCACTTTTCTCCTAACGATAAAAAAATTAATTCTCAAAATCACTCCCAAACAGGCTCTATATCTTAAGTCGGTAAAGAAGGAATTGTGCAAACATGCAATATCTATGAAACATTTTACAAAATGCTTAATTTGAAGTCACTTACTTTAGTCAGACAAAACAAAAAGTGATGTGATTTCAGTGAAGCGAGATTAATAGTTTGCGGTTTTGACAGTTCTCTATGCGTATATCGAGGATTCCCAATACCATGTTCAGTCCAATAAACAAGAAAAATAAATAAATTAAAAGCATGTATGAAAAATATTTATATAACAGTATAATTTATAGATAGATAAAAAAGAGTACCGGCTAAGTGGATAGTACGAAATATATAAGTAAAAATGACTTATAAAGATAAATCGAACATAGGCTAAGACACGAGAAAATGTAGCGTTACTTTGTATGCTGCAGAAGATATCCATCCATGCCATGGCTTAAGAGTGATATTATATGACACTTCGATGGCTTGTTCGATACTCATCTTAATATTCTTGACAAGTAATTTTAATAAAGCTACTGAAAAATCAAAAGATCTGCAAATAACAATTGAATATAGAAATGTAGATTAGACCCAAAATCAATATGTTGCTTTATTGTTAATAAGGAGAAAATTTCAACATGCATTTAAAGTATATTTACAATTTACATACTATATTTTTACGTTTACGTTTTGCATATTATACTATAGTTATTGGTAACAAAAACACATTTTATAGGGAAAAGTAGAGCTATTTACTAATTTACCATTATAAATAGGCAAACAGGCCAAAATACTCTTAAACAAAAATAATTATAAATAGCACATTGCATATTAAATTATATAAAACTTTAGTTAGCAGTTGTTAAATTATTTTATATTTCTTAAAATTAAACTGCTAAAAGCTTATGATGTTTTATTAACTGTTTTTTCCTTAAAAAGATGGTATAGAATGTTTAAAAAATTTATGATTTTCATTTTCTTTAAATTATAACTGGAAAAAAAATATAAAAATTTAATAAACCTTCTTTATCAATATAGCAAAAATTACATTTGATTTTTTTCCAACATCAATAAATGGAAAATTGGAAATTATTAGTTACCATCACCTAATAAATAATGTACGTTAGATGAATATCATATAAGTTTAGTTTAATTTATAAATTTATGTTTTTGGTGATATTTTACCTTTGTAGTATTACGAATAAATTTTAAGAATAGAAGACAAACATTAATATTGTTAATAAAAGTGTAGAAGTCTGTGTAAATAAATTAAAATACAATTATTCTATGTGTACAGAATAATCTTAATTTTACAGAAAAGACATAGAATACTTACATGGAATGGACCCCATGTGAGTAAATTATTCCCAAAAAATGCTCACCACCCCATCGTGTGTGATCTGTAAATGCCATGTGAATGCACTCCTATACACCTAGGTTCGCTCATTAAATTATCATGTTTTCATAGTGTAGTCTGTGTTAGAAAAATAGTGTAATCATTCTTGATTTGAAAACAAAACAATTTATAAAATATAGAAATGTAAGTGAGGATGAATTTATTTTTATTGTTTTGGATGAAATAGTAATATATAGAAATTAAATTTTTTAAGAATAATAAAGTTGTGGTGTGATTTTCGATTTTCAATTAAAGATATTTATAATAGCAAAATTTCTAATATTTCTATATTGCCTTACAAAAATGTGTTTTTTGTTACAATAACAAAACCACGGTATACAAAAATTTATAAAATATAGTATGCATAATGTAAATACACCATATACAAAGAAGTATGCAGTAGACTTTTCAATAATAAATTATCGGTCATGCTACACTGCTATCCTCCATGACGAATAGGTTGATAAAATGACATGCTATCATTGTATTATTTTAAACACAATACTATTAGGAACATGCTTGCTATACACTCTTGAGTACAGCATGCATGACAACCCCCTCATGTGAGGGGCCGGCTGTAATTTTTGTACAAGCAGATTAACCTATTATAATTTCCATCCAATCATTTTCATTCACATACACATCTATTGAGGCTTGTAGAAATCATATGGCAAAGAGCGAAATTCATTAATATTGGTGGAGAGTGCTAGATGTACACACACTTTTGTACAAAAAATAGTTTACTTACACTCACAATGGGAGGGTGGAGGCCTCGTGTTGACATTTTTTTTTCATGTGGGATCCAACTGTATGTGAGAGTGGGTAAATTATTTTGTACAAATGTGTGAATACATATATCTTTATCCTAGGCCCCGTTTGATAACCATTTTTTTCAAAATGCATTTTTCAATTTCTTCTTTTCAACTACACATTCTTTATTAAAATAATATTACACGTAACTTAAAAAAATTCTTATTTTTTAATTACACATTTTACATCAATTTACTATTCTAAAATACATTTTTAAATAAAAATGTCTATCAAACACCTCCCTAATATTAATGTCTCCTCAAATGCACAAAGAAATGTTACCTGGTAAGCCAAACAAAGGCTTTACTGCAAGTAGGACCTTTTTTAGCCTTTCCTTCACTGCCCTCTTTCTTCAATATTTCTACCACATCCCAATATGTCAGTGGATCAGAATCATAGACCTTCTCCAATCTCTAGACATGGAAGACATAATAATTAAGTACAAGATTATGTACCTGTTTGGCTCTAATAAAATCAAAATGTATTTTTTTCTCTTTTTTTTTTTATCACACATTTTTTTAATAAAATAATAATATACGTAAATTCAAAAATATTTCTTTCTTTTTATTTTAAAATTTCTTGAAAAAATTACTATTTTAAAATATATTTTCTCCAAAATTTAATTTTAATGGAGCCTGAGCAAGGGTAAAAGATTTGTCTTTGTACTTATAAATGTACTTGCATATGGTATCTGAACATAAAAGTACCTATTATTTGGTAATGTATATTTTGATTGACTACAAATTGTATCTGAAATGAGCAATCCATAATTTTGAAAATCAACATTTCTGGTCATGTCACATAACTAAACTAGATCCAAGTCAATCTCGTCATTCTTTCATAGACAAAATCAATTAAAGGGGTGTTTGATAGTTATTTTTATATAAAAACGTATTTTAGAATAGTAACTTGATGAGAAATGTGTGGTTAAAAAATAAGAAATTTTTTTTGATTTACATGTAATATTATTTTAATAAAGAATGTGTGGTTGAAAAGAAGAGAGAAATAAATGCATTTTGAAAAAAATGTGTACCAAACGGGGACTAAGTAAAAATTCAATTACCATTAGTATAAATTTATAGACAAAACAAGTTTTTAACCTTACAATTAACATTGCTCTTCAAAGAAAATATGAAATACTCGACAATCAGTAAAAATGGATATAAAGCTTTAAGGTAGGGGTGTAAACGAGTCGAGCCGAGTCGAGCCGGCTCGCAAGCCGAAACTTCCGGCTCGTGCTCGCCTCGAGCTTTTTCAATATGGGCTTTTTTGGGCCCGAGTCGAGCCGGCTCGACTCAAAAAAAATAAAGCTCGACCCGAGCTTTTGGCTCGGGCATTACCAAGCCGAGCTGGCTCGTGTTTTGATGTCTTTTTTTTTTTAATTTTTTTTCTCGTAATTGCTGCCCAACAGGCAGCTTTAATTATAAAGCTGCCTATCGGCAGCTAGACTGTTGCCGAACTGGCAGCAAATCTGCTGCCGCAGCTATAAAGCTGCCGGCAGCTACAAAGCTGCCGGCAATCTATTTTTTTAATTTTTTTAAATTTTTTGTTTTAAATTAAACGGGCCGGCCTGGGCTCGGGCGATTGCCCCCTTTTGGGGCTCGGCCCGAGCTTTGGCTCGGTTCGTCCGAGCCACGAGCCGGGCAACGGGCTGCTCAAGCCACCGAGCTTTTTTGACATCCCTACTTTAAGGTGAATTATTGCGACGAATGAAAGTCAAAGAAAGGATTGGCTCTTTGCCTCTTTCTTAATCCTTAGCGGTTTAATTATCATGCAGACTTGCTATGCAATGAGGAACCAATGCGTCGTGTGTTATGTACATACATACTCTGAAAATGGTAAGAATTTAACATATAACTTTTAAAGTTACCAAAGCATAATTTTCGAAGTATCCATAAAAGTAAGCATTTAACTTACTTTTTAGATAAGTAAATTTTAAATGGGAATCTTAGATCCTATCCGGTATAATAGAGTCGGACACAACAAACGTTTCCAGGAATTAATCATTCAAAACAAATATACACATTTTTTCATCAATAATTAATATATATATATATATATATAGAGAGAGAGAGAGAGAGAGAGAGAGAGCGAGAGAGAGGTGAACCAAGAACTTGAATCAGAAGTTTGCATATAGAGAGAAAAGGTTTAATGGGAATTTGGAGTGTTGTGCGAAGATCATCTGCGCATCTCTCCTTCGAAGGTTTAAAGCCGCTCCTCTCCTTCGCAGCGGATAGTTCTTGAATAGCAGACCTTATCTCCGATGACATCTCCGCCTCTCTCCGCCGCTGCATTTCAATGCTCTTTTACTTCCTCCTCTTTCTAATGTTCTCTCTCTCTCTCTTCCACGATATATACCTCTACACATTGGTATTCCAATTTTTTTAAAAGAAGTTATTGTGTTGACTACAGAGAGACGTAATGGCATCCAATGGATTTCTATGAACTGGCCTAAATGTCAGCGGGGGAAAACTTCTTGGTTGGGTCTAAACTCTCTAAGATTCAATATTATTTTTGTACATAAATATTTCAATATTCATTGCTTATGCTAGACATGTGATTATGACCTCTTAAGTTGACCTTGAAATTATCATTTAAACTAAAGTACCACAAAAGAGATAAAAAAAAAAAAAAAAAAAGAAGATAATATTACTCTTGGATTGTAAACGAGGCAACTGTTCCAAGTTCAGAGCGGATCATTTTTTAACAAAATCACGTTTGGCGTTTGCCAAATGACCATGTTATATGGATGTTTCAACCCGTCTCGCTTGAAGTTTTGTTTCATAATTATGTAGGAGAAGGAGGCAAGATATACAGTTTAATCCAGGTCAAACAATGATTTATTTCGGGGAAAGTTGCAGCACAAGTCCTTAACCTTATCGTTTTTTTATAGATTTTACTATAACCTTCATTTTGTGACAGCGAATGTCCCTAACCTTTAATAAATATGCACCTGAAATCCATCTTGACAGAAACCGTCCAAAACACCATCAGTTGATCGGAAAAATTTCCTTGAACTATCTGCTATAACGACGATTTTATTGGATGTTGATTCCTTCATTTTTCAGTTAACTGATGATGTTTTGGACGATTTCCGTCCAGATGAACCTCGGTTGCATATTTATAAAAGGTTAGAAATCTCCGCTGGTACAAAATAAATGATAGGGTAAAGTCTGTAAAAAAATGAAAATGTTAGGGACCACTACTGCAATTTTCTCTTTATTTTGAGGCTTTCTTCTTTGTATTAGGCAACGAACTTGGTTGATTTAATTCAAACGATTTGAACGAGAATTCGTGTAAGTGAAAATTTCTTGTATGATTATTTAGAATTTATGTTTTATCTTTTACTCTACCAACTAGTAGTTTTAAACGGTAAAACTTTTAAGACCTCTTTCCTATCCAACTATCCAAGGAGGCTCAACTTCAATCCCATCCAAGCAATAAATTGGATTCTTATTTTTAATGTTTATTAGAGATGGCAACATAGCACGGCTAAAGAATGGCAACGCGGCAAGGATCCTATTCTTCATACCGTTTTTGTGGGGGGTGAGGGCGTGCAACCCCATTCTCATTTGCTGCTCCATTTTTATTATTATTTTATTTTGTGTTAAATATCATATACTGTCCTTAATTATTAATAATATTATTATTAAATAAAAAAACTAAAATTTAGAAACCTATAAAATAGAACAAGGTTAAATCATTTATAAATATTCATAACATGAATCTATTCTTCCGATGTGGGGGAATAAACCTCCTTAACAAAGTTTCACATCTAAATAATTTGAAAAATTAATCCCGCATTGGATTCTTAAAGAACGTGTGTTTTAAAAGTGGTCTATAAAAAGGAATTGTGAACTTAGAACATCTTCAAGTGACTCTAATTATAAAGAGAATTTTAGCATAATAGAGAGAATTTTTAAGTTTAGAGAGTAAATTCTTTTATTTACTGCAACAATGCTTTCTCTTTTAACTCTTTATTTTTTTTTCAATGAACATTTACTGATTTCTTCTCATCTTTTATTTAACATAATTTTTTTTATATATTTTAATGACTAATCAATTCAATTGTGATTTGAATAATTTAAATGGTAGAGTATTGAAATTTGTAAATTATTAAATGCAATTATTGTTAATTAAGAATGAGAGTGAGTTTGACTCTTCAACATTGGAGAGCCAAACCTAGGGATAGCAATCGGGCTCGTCAGTTCAGACTGCTCACGACTCGACTCGAAAAAAACTCGAGTTAGCTCGGCTCTAGGCTCGAGTCGAGCCCTATTTTAGGGTGCCAAGCAAAGTCCGAGTCGGCCCATGTGGCTCGCCGACTCGAAATCATGAGCTTATATTATATATATAATTTAAAAAGGTAGCAACACGTTGTTGCCTAAACAAGGCAGCACTCGGCTGCCTTAAAAAAATAAAAATAAAAAGGCAACACTTGATTGCCTTAGTCGAGTGCCAAAAGCTCGGGTCGAGCTCGAGCTTTAAGTTTCTGCTCGTTGACATTTCTAATCAAACTCACTCTTTATTTTTAAAAGTTAATCAAGAAAATTTCTTGGAGCTTATTTTTAAATATTGACTTTCTAAAATAGATATTATTTTATATTATTAATATTTTTTGGAGATGCTTTCAATTAAGTAAATAGCTTTACATTAAGGCCATGTTTGATTGGCCATTTTTCCATGGGAAATGGAATTCAATATTTTTCCACCAATTTTTTGTGTTTGATAACAAAAGTTTTCCTTAGAATTCATTTTCCATGATTTGGTGGAAAATCAATTCTCACCTTCCAACTTTTTTTTTTAATTTTCAGTAATGGGAACAAATTTTATCATTTTAATTAAAAACATTCATAAAAAATAAAACCATACGAACACTAAAATATAGATGATTTTTGAAATTTTTTTATCAATGGAAACAAATTCTAGGATCAATTGTAGAAATGAATATTCTTTAAATTGACAATTTTCATAAAAAAAATAAAACCAAACGAACACCAAATGACATTTTTATTTTGACATTTTTTAGGTAAAAAATTATACCAATCAAACACTGTTAATTGACAATTCCCACTAAAACAAATTCTAGGCAATTCAATTACCTTCAATTATGGAGTGAATTTGTAGTCTCTAATGTTTTAAGTATATTAGACTATTAGTACATTTTTAATTTAAATTAATAGTAAGAAAGTAAAATAATAAATATTAATTATATTAAATAAAATTAAACTAATATTTGTGGTGAATTCAGGGTGGGGACTCATTTCCCTTTCTTTTCGCGCTAACCCGATTGAGTGAGCTAAGTCCACAAGTAGGTCGAGGGATTTCTTGACCCATTGACATTCCTGTCTCGATTGGGTCCAACCCACATTGTCCATGTCAAGGAATCGGGGCGTGCCCGACAAATGTGGTCTCCTCTCCAATCTTAAGTAATAAATAAATAAATATTATTAAAAATAATAAATAATAAACTAGACAAGATAAATAAGGACATTTTGTTTCCTACAGACAGGGAAGGCCACCACACCCCTCACCATCCCTAAAGTTCGTAGCCTTTCTAATGTAGTAGCTATTAAGACTATTTTCAAACTTGCACCAAAATTTGAGATCAATTTTGCATCATTTTATATCAAATTTTGTGCCAAACTAGTCATCTTCATCAATTATACCAAAACTTATACCAAATAAACAGTGTTTAATCATTCTTTTTTTTTTAATTTTTAACAATTTATTTATTGAAAATTTATTTCTTTATTTATTGTACACGCATATAAATTACTAAATAAATAATTATGTGAAAGAAACAAAAATATTAAATTCATTAACTATTATTTTTTAACATTATTAAAATTTATTTTACATGCACATCATCATCATCATCATCATATTCATAATAATAATAATAATACAATTTATGTATTAAAAAATACATAACATAAATACCCTTCATCAATTTATTTGACAAATGAAAAAAAGGTGAAATTAAATTTTGGTGCTACATTGTAGGCCTTTTGCCCCAAAATTTGGTGCATTTTGATGTTTTGTTTCCTTTGGAGATTCCCTAATTTAACTTTTTGAACTCTGTGCTAAGTACACTCTGCTAAAAGGGAATTTTTTCTTAAATATATAGAAAAACAACTTGAAAAGAGCATTGGTTCGACAACCGAGTCCAGCCAGCCTATATTGATCTCAATTGTACCAAGCAATATAACTAAAAGTATAAGAAGTCAATCTCTTGAATGTCCCAATCGTTTCTTTGTTTATTTGGTAGGAATTTTGATAATTGATTTTTTGACCGTGTTGGGTTTTTGATACCCAATAAATCCCGGGTTATGATGTTAACGTGGGTTAATATTATTTCATAGGCATAGGCCGATGAATGATATAAGAAGTCAACCTCTTGAATGTCCTAATTGTTTCTTTCTTTATGTGTTTATTTGATAGGGATTTTGATAATTAATATTTTGAACGTTAGAGATAAAATGGGTTGTACCTGTGAGAGAAGAATTCAAAAATAACGACTGAAATAGTGAAATAATGGTAAAAAAAATTTGATTTAAATTGGCTTAAAATCTATACCAAACAAGCCATATATATCAAGAAAAAGACCAATAGAGTTTATTTTAGCTCGCACAAAATATTACAAATATTAGGAAAAATTGCAGCAGCAGTCCCAAACCTTTTCAATTTTTACAGATTTTACCCTACCCTTTAATTTGTGCAAGCGAAAGTTCCTAACCTTTCAGAATTATACACCCGGGGTCCAAATTAGAGCCATTACCCCTTCTTGAATTTAAGATTTCAGCTCATAATTTAGCGCTTGACTGATTTGGCTAAAAATCAAATTTATAATAAATTTTAATAAGAATTGATAAAATGTGTAATCAAAAGTTAATAAAATTATTATTCCCATAAAATATATGGTTGAAAATAAATTTTAAAAATTGAAGGAGCTAAGTCAGTAGGTATATATTGTTGTAAGCCACACCGGCTGAGTATTATTCTATAATCACATTCTTAGGGTTGAAATATTTATTCATTTGAAATCCAAAACACTTGTGGGTATTAGATTCATGAATTGGGATATGATATTCAAGTTCTGGACTATTTTATTCTTAAAATAATACAAGGATTATATAACAATTTTTTTCCTGATGTAAGATTAATTAAGGATAAGCTAATTAATTAATGATAGTAATTAAAATCATATATTATTTTCTATAATTTCACTTGCAAGGCAATTGACCTGTGCAAAAACTAATTCCATGTATAATTAGGCATCGATCGTATGTTCATTTTCCTTGATTCTTTATAGTTGATGAAATGAACCGAAGCCAATAAAATTTATTCTCTAAGAGACGGTATTATATTTCTGTGGAGGAAGAAGGGTAAGTGTAGACAATATTATGTTTTCTTCAACTTATTTATA